AGACTTAGTTTGAAACATAAATACAATACTGTGGTGAGTTAACCATGAATGGGCAGCTGCCCACCAAAGCTGCTCAGTCACTCCTCTCCTCAGGTACGTGGGGAGGAAAAAATATGACAAAAGGCTCATGTGTTAAGGTAAGGGCAGGGAGAGATCACTCACCAGTTACCATCATGGGCCAAACAGACTCGACTTGGGGAAATTAATTTAATTTATTGACAGTGAAATCAGTAGGGTCATGAGAAATAAAAGCAAATTTTAAAATACCTTTCCCCTACCCCTCCCTTCTTCCTGGCCTCAGCTTCCTCTCTCTCAGCAATGCAGGGGGATGGGGAATGAGAGTTGCAGTGAGTTCATCACGTTGTCTCTGCTGCTCCTTCCTCCTGACACTCTTCCCCTGCTCCAGCAGGGGCTCTTCCCATGGGAGACAGTCCTCCATGAATTTCTCTAACATGGATCCTTTCCATGGGCTACAGTTCTGCACTAACTGTTCCAGTGTGGGTCTTTCACTAATTGTTCCAATGTGGGTCCTTTCCATAGGATGCACTCCCTCAGGAACAGACTGCTCCAGGGTGGGTCCCTCATAGGGTCACAGCTCCTGACAGCATACCTGCTCGAGCGTGGGCTCCTCTCTCCCTGGAATCACAGGTCCTGCCAGGAGCCTGCTCCAGTGTGGCTTTCCCACAGGATCACAGCCTCCTTTTGGGCATCCACCTGCTCTGGCCTGGGGTCCTCCATGGGCTGCAGGTGGATCTCTGCTGCACTGTGGACCTCCATGGGCTGCAGGTGGACAGCCTGCTTCACCATGATCTGCACCATGATCTTCAGGGGAATCTTTGCTCTGGTGCCTGGAGCAGCTCCTCCTGCTTCTTCTCCTCTGGCCTTGGTGTCTGCAGTGTTTTTTCTCCTACATATTCTCACTCCTCTCTATGCAATTACTCTTGTGCACGTTTTTTGCCCTTTCTTAACTATGTTGTACCAGAGGTGCTACCACTATTGCTGATGGGCACTGCCCTGACCAGTCATGAGTCTGTCTTGGAGCCAGCTGGCATTGGCCCTGTTGCACAATGGGGAAGCTTCTGGCAGCTTTTCACAGAAGCCACCCCTGTAACCCTCCCACCAGTTCCAAAACATTTCAGAAGTTTCCATACCCAATACAAATAAAATAAGTAATTATGTCAGCCATAATGCACAATCATTCATTTGTAAAACTGATTCTTTAGTTAGATTTTTAAGCTAGAGATGTCCTTTTTTGTCTACCTTGAGCACACCTGTGGTGTAACTTATGGCTTACTGTCCTACAGAATGAATTAGTATCCCTGCAGAAGCTAAAATCTTTGAGTTTAGGTCAGTAACCCTGTTTCATTTAAGAAAGCGGGTTACTACTTTTTGGTCTTATCGCTACAGCTCACCAGTTTCTGCTGTATCTGCTTATAAACTTGAAATGTGAAAACAGCTCTTAGAAACAGCATGCTAATATCCTCTGAAGAAGTTGTTCTAATGATTCTGATTCTTTCCAGAGAATGAGGGCTTCTTTCAAAGAAGTCTAACTGAAAGACAGCTCTGTGATTAAAATTGTTTTGGTCTTTTGTTCTTAAAAACTGCAGATTTTGTCAAATACATTCTTAGCAGTAGGTGCTGTTTCTATATTAAGAGTGCAAGCTAATGAATTCTTTCAGTGGAAATTCTCAACTCATTCAAAGTCCTGTTGCTAATACTGCCCCTTAAATGTAATTTGTTTAGTCTCAACTAGAAACTAAACCAGATTTAGAATCAGAATTTAGAATAAGTTAAGGGGGTAAAAAGAAAAGCTTTGACCTTTGTTAGCAAATTTTATTTCTTGTCTCCTTCTTGGTATGTTACATTTCAAAATCAGGGTATGTTGACAGTGCAGTTGGCAGTGCCCGAGAGAGCAGCATATGTACTCTTCCTGCAGTTGCATCTTTTAGTGCAACATAATAATCTTGGCACATGGAGTAACCTTCAGATAATCTTCCCAGAAGCCTCATGTAAAATCAGTTTCACTCTTGCTTTACTAGAGATTGCACTGAAATGCAGCAGTAAAAAATAATGGGATTCAGGTTGTGACACATAAAACCAAATGTGTTTAGTGGAATCCAAAGCATGGGGACCTGGAGCACATTTTCCTCCATTCTAGGAGTTGAGCTGGTTGTTCAAGGCCAGTGTGCTGGTAAGAACTGTGGCAGAGGAAAAGCTGCTAAGAATTAGGATCTGTGTCAGTTCTCCCTTGTTTGACTCTGGAGCTGCTTTTAAGCCAAGGCTCACCTGGCTGGCTCCTGCCTTTGAGGTGTTGCAGCTCTGTCTGTGCCTGGTCTCATATCTCCCTGATTCCAACCCTAACCGAGCTTCACTTTGTGGCTTGACCTTGGACCTGTCTTGGGCTACTTGCCAGGCTTTTGCTGGCCCTGGTCACTATCTCGGGACTGACTCTCCCTGGCCTATGCAGCTTTCCTCCTGGTCCTGTGGCACCCTTGCTCTTCTGTGACACAAAGCAGAGAAGGGCTAGAAAAGTTCACTACAGAAAATCACATTTATAGCATAACAGGAATTTGTCAGATGCTTTAGCAGGTTACATGCGTCAGCTCCAGCAGCACTGAGTCAAGTGAGTGCTCATGGTCCTTTTTGCTGTGTGCCAGTAGTTTTAACAGCTGTTCCAGGAAATGGGTAGTTGCTCTTTAGACTTGACTACATCTTGAAATTTTGAAAGTCCATGCAGTAATTCTAATAAGACATTATCTGGAAGAGGACCACTTAGCACCTTCTGTGACTCTTTAGACTCATCTGATGAAAAATCTTAAGGGTTATTGACGGAATACTGTGCATGTTGTTTTGTTTTTTGAAAATATCAGGTACTGATTTCACATTTTTCCTGGGGAAATGCTAATCATGTATTTTAGACTGGGTTCTCTAATCTATGTGTAACTGATTACTCATGCTTAATACTTTTTGGTGTTTTTTAACAGCTTTCCATTGAAATTGGAACAGAAGTTAAAAACCAAAATAAAATGTTATCAGAAATGGTAAGTATGTAGTAACTAAATTTCTTTAAATACAGGGCAGGATTAAGAACTTGGTCATGTAAAGGATCCTGTCTTGTAGTATGAACGTGTTTATTAAAATGTTGACAGCTTACCACTGTAACGTGACTGATTCAGTAACAGTATTTCTGTTCAAAAAGATAAAATGTGCAAATACATTACTTTCAAGGCACAACCAAGGCCTCTTTGCTTCAGATATGACTGTTGATTTTCATTTAGAAAATGTATAGTACTGTTAAAGAGGCAGTTCTGTATTAAATAGTATTCAAGAACAGAAGAAGGAAGCAAAAAAATAAGGTAGACAGAAATGCCTTTTTTTCTTACACTTTGCTTTGGCTTGGGGAAAAAATAACACTGGATAAATGGGTGAAAGTTTTTCGTGGTTAATTTTTGCCTCTAAAATAATTTTGAAAAAACAAGGAAAACCACACTCAGTGAACTGAAAGGGTATTTCTGTTCTCAGAGTAACATGTTTTTTGTTGTTTTGTTTGTTTGTTTTTTAAATGTAGGAGAATGATTTCGACTCTACAGGTGGACTTTTAGGTGCAACTATGGGCAGACTGAGAACACTTTCCAGAGGAAGCCAGACAAAGCTATTATGTTATATGATGCTCTTTTCATTGTTTGTTTTTTTTGTAATATACTGGGTTATTAAACTGAGGTGATGCATGGTACCTCTGGTTTACACTGTGTAATTTCAACTACAGTCTTAATTAATGAAGACATTGATCTAAAGTGATATTTTCTGTTGATAAAAAATGGTGAAATTGTTGTAAATTGCATTAAATATTAATGCAATGTTATATATAGTTTTCTTAATATGTCAGAATTTTTCCCATCATCCTCTGTTTTGGGGGGATTATTTGTAAATATGCAGAAAGTGCTGGCATAGATTGCTTTTTTTAAGGAAAAATAGTTTTTAGAATTGATTTAAAAAATACAGGAAACAAGGGTTTTTCAAATATGAAGTAATTGTAGAATTACAAGGCTTTCTCTTTCATTCTGCTTTTCATTCTGCACCATGCTCTAAATTAGAGCTCCAGTTTCAGGCATGTGGTAATTTCTAGATTGCAAAAGCACGAAGAATACTTGGATCTTTCTAAATTGGTTTTATCTGTGGATTTTTTAAATTCTGGCCTGAAGCTAAGAAATGTAATAGTGGTACCACCAAACATTACTTTTGTAGCTAGATCTGATAGTGTTTAAATAGCTTAAACTGTGTGCTTAAACTGTGTATTTTGGGGAGAACTGGATTTTTATTTTTTTTTAAATTCAAATGTGACAAATCATCTTACACATCTCTTTTAAGCAAATGCCTTTCATCATTGGGATCAATCAATATGGACACAGTTCAAATGTTTTCTTTATATTTAAAGTATCAGAAATTAATGATTCCATTGAATCACAAACTTTTATCATTAGTATGCTTACTTTTCAATTTGTGATGGTCCCTAGATCTACACTGCATGATGCCTGAAATACAAGGGCAAATATTTGGAATTTTATATTAAAGTAAACGATGATGCACCTGTTGGAGGTGGAGTCACAGTAAGGTTTTTTATTTTGAAGACTTAGCTTTCGCTCACCAAATAGTTTCTAATCGTTGAAGCTATTATATTGCTGAGTTTAACATAAAAACCAGTTAAGTTTCCTAGATATTGAAATTGTATCTACAAGTTTTGAAAGACTTTTCTAGAAATACTGCATAATGTGTTGCCATTAATAACTAATTATGAAGTGACAAATAAAGTGTCTTGTAGTATTATTCTAACTAGTGTTGTTCATATACATTCTTATCTATTGTAGAATACCGGTGTATTTTTTGGAAATGGTGCTGCATTTCAGGGGCAATTTTTATTTATTTATTTTTAATCCATAATACAGGCTATGTCTTCTGGCTTAAATGACTGCTTTAGGAAGAGTTCAAGTAATTACGCACAATTTTCATATTAACATGTTTAATATTTTCCTTTAATAATTACACACAAGTCATGGTACCTTGCTGATGAAGTTCAGGCCTCCAGAATCTTCAGATACAATTAAACAATTGGTTGTAAAATTCTGAAAATAAAAATCAACCACTACTCCCATCACCAAACATCCATCACAGAGTTGATGTGAACTTGGCAAAGACAGCACATCTCATTGTCATGTTTGCTTGCTAAAAGTGAAAGGTAGGGAAGGTACCTGTAATTGAGAGCAAAAGCACTGTTCTAGTATTTGGAGATGGCAGAGAATCATTTGTGCCTTAATTATGGGTCTTGAAAGCAAAGCTACACTGAAATTATACAATGAAATCATAGCTGTATGCATATAGAAGTTCTGTTTCATAATGGGTGGCTTAGATGCTCTAAAATGTAGATAAAGTTTGATTAAAGAACACATTTTTTCAGTGTGCTTAGCATAGATCATTGAAAAACTTCAGTAAACTACTGAAAAAATGGAGAAATACCTTGCAGGATGCTGTATTCTCTCAGGCTGCTCTATATTAACAGAATTTTGACAGTGGAGAACACATAGAATGGTAATGCTGAAACACCTGGATGTGCATTTTGATGGCAAAATTACCATTTTCCACTCAAAATGTGCTGGCTGTTTCTTACCTTCAGTGTGCAGTACAAGCCATGCTCTTGCTGTCTTAATTTTCTGGGAAGAGCGGAGCTGTATCACTTGCTTGGAAGTATTGCCATGTATTTGCATATGATGGAAAGCATGGTTTCATCTGTCCCACCTCCTATTGACATCAATCTCAAGTCTCTGCAGAAATATAAAGAGTAGATTTAAACATGTGCATGCTATTCTGATGGTTTTCTGCTGGGAAGCCTGATGAGATTACCTACATGTGTCATACTAATTCCAGATGCCTGCAGAACACCTCCTCCACTGCCTCTTCCTGGGGAGGTGGTCTGTGATACTTCGCTCAGTATCCCTGCTGGTCCCCTCCCAGAGCAGTAGGTGCCTAAGCCTGCAGTTGAACTTTAATTTTTTCAGGGCCAGCAGCAGAAAGGGTTGCAGCTCTTAATTTTGATGAACTGTGTGGTAAATAAAGAGTCAATCAGTACACGAGGTACTGGAGATTCGTACAGAGAGGGTACAGTTTTCCTTCAGGTTTTTTAACCAGTAAGCATCCTGGTCTCCCTCATGGCTATGTGAGATCTGGCAGAACACGTTAATGTTATATAGCAGTATAGTTAGTGTTATATAATATTCTAGTATAGTTTTATATAGTCTATAAAGCTGCTGTGCTGTAAAAAGGAATGGCTGCTCCAACAATATTTACTTTCAATTTGATATTTCTAATCACAGTCATTTAAAACCTGCCATTAACATCACTGAGTCATCCCTAACAGTATTGCCTAAGTTTCCTGTGCTAGCCAGATTGCAAAATACTGCAACCTCAAGCAATTTTACTCACAAGTTTCTTCTTTGGGGAGAATTAAAAACCACCATCATCAACAGAAGAACTACCAAAACAGTTCTAAACTATCTCTAATTAATAACCTGAAGATTCCCCACCTTCCTACAGGCCTGGTTGAAGGCTGTGGAGCTGGAACAGTGGTAAGTTACTTGTTCTTAGTGCTGCAGTGTTGTCTGCTTTGTCAAGCCCATGCTCAGCATTTGGCATCTTCACTGTAGCACCAGCAAGCAACAAATCCTCAGAACCCCTCTGTGATGCCAAGAGAAATCAAATCCTCCATCTGCAGAAGGAATCCTGGACATGTAGCTTGTTTATATGATGTTAGAAATAGACACTGGTAAGATCTGGTTTTGGTGGAGTGTGTGATAGACAAGTCAGGTTATTACGTATAAAGACATGTTTTAAAAAAACACCTTTCACATATGTTTTGTGCATTTGTGTGTCTTTACAAATTTGTTAGTAATTATGTTTTTGTCTTTAGGAGTGAGATAAGGAGTATTTCTTATATAATCTACAGAGAGGTGACTAATGGTGATCTCTCTCCTGGGGAGACATGATGGAAGGTTTCCTCTAATTTAACCAGATCAAGATGACAAAAGACTCAAGTGATTTTAATCTAGCAACCCTCTTATGGGAAAGAGAGTTGCTTTCAGAATAAGAAAACAAAATCATGGGACCAACTATCCTGCCAGAAACTGCAAGAAAGCTGGGAAAGAGGAGATAGTAAAGTAACCTTTTATATCAGCTATTCATTGTATGCTTTTGGTTTGGTGGTTTATATTATATCAATAATAGATTATTAGGATGGCACATAAATATTTAAATAACTATAAATATTAGAACTTAATTGCTTTACTTAATCTACCCCTAGAATCTTTTCATCTGGTACAGTAACACTTTGTTTTCTGATTTCTCCATCACCTTGTTACTGCCTCATGACAGAGCAGCAAGTCCTGCTCTACTGCAGCCCCACTGAAGTGAGCACCAACCTGTGGTGGCTTCACCCTGATAGAGGACGGTGAGGAACCAGCCTGCAACACATCATGCAGTTTTGTGAAGGTGTCATTCTGAGGGACCAAACCTCTAGCTGCTTGTTGAATGCTGAGAGAGTGGGAGTTAGCCTGAGGAAAGAGAGAAATCCAGCTATTGTGTTCTGTCCCTCTAAAACACCCCCTGCAAAGAGTTTCTTCTCATTTGGGAAATGCCATGCATCTGAAACACTCACTGTAGGTTATAAGACTTATCCTGCTCAATCAGATCAAGAGATGTAAATGTTAAAAAGTAATCCACTTTTTGACAAATTAGAAATTCTTTATTGCCAAGTTAAAAAACTGCACTTATGAAGGAGGGTAAGGAGCCATTCCCATTCAGTCCAGCTTATCAATAATTTCTAGTTATGTACCAACAGGAATAAAAAGAACCCTCCATGTTGTCAAATCATGTTTCCCATCTCCATAGGTAATGTCATACAGCCTTCAGAAATGTGTCAAGCACAGCTTTAAGGAGAAAAAACAAGCGCCCTTTAATCTTGGGCTATCCTAATTTGAAGGCTGTCAGATAACAAAGTTATTCTAATGATTAGGAACCCTCTAATTTACGGCCTGAATGTGTTTCTGAGTAGTATAATCCAGTATAGTCTGCAGTTTAACATTCCTCTGTTGGCTGGTGTTGACCCCTCTGCCTTCTTAGGGCCTTTCAGCCTTTGCTTCGCATGAGCTAAGCCATGTCCACTACGCTGCCTGTACACCAGGCACCCATGCCACAGCTCATGGCACTATAAATCTGTCTCCAGCCTCAAGCTGATAATATCTCATGGTGTTTGCAGCTGTGCATTCCAGTACCGTTTACTACCCACAGCCAGGAGGCTGTGCCTGCTCAGGGAGCCACAAACATCCTGAGAGGAGCCTGCTGCACTACTTACCTTCAATGCAGGTGTCTTCACAAAACTTTAAACTCCTGAGAAAATAAACTCAGTATTTCTTTCCCCTTTTGGCAGTGATCAGTGCTGGTCAGACGTGGGGAAGAAAGCAAGTTATGGTGACTCGAACCCTGGTTTTCCCTAGTAGCCTGGCTTCCTGGCACTGGTCCCTCAGGGATGCTGCTTTTTGCTTCCCTGGTTAGGAGGCCATTGGTAAATCCATACCAAGGTTGATGTGGCTTAGAGTAGCACTGCTTCCCAGGAGGACATTTTTACACTGCTTCTTTTCAGCACAAATTGCCCTTGATTACAAAATGTTTACCCTTTTTTTCTCAACAATTACTATTTTTAGGTTGTATTACTGGCGAGATTGTTCTCCACAAAATATACTGATGCACCCTCAAGCTTAATATTTTGTGATTTATTCAATTTTCAGACTCAGCTAGTTTGCCTATAGGCTGTCCAAATTAAGCAGAATCTGAAGGAGACTGATCCACAGGGAGAAGTTTGAGCTGATGCCACCCAGTGCAGCAGGTCTCTGGCCAGGCTGCCACAGCCCAGACACCTGAGGCTGTGCCTGCTAGTTCCCATGGCCCTGCTCTTTCCATTTAGGGACATTCTGAATGCCCAGCTGAGGGAATGGGCATCACCTTGGCCTGCTCTGGAGTGTAGCTCTGCTGTAAAGTCATGACTGTACAGTTGCTTGCTTTGATTTGCTATCTTAGAGCTAGATGTCATGTGCTTTCTTAAATTCCCTCTCGAGATACTCATAAAAGTTAAACAAAATGGTAGACAGGCATCTGTCTCAAAGCCTCTGCAGAAAAAGGCTGAAACTACAGACAGAAATTGATATTAAGCCTTGTCTCAACAGTTAGCTACAGACTTCAAAGCAAATCATTTTTGTCAGCAGAAATGGATGGATAGGTTTCATTTTGTTTGGTACAGCCCTAAATGGTTATAAGGACAAAAACTGATTAAAAACCTCCAGTTGTCTAGACTTACTCAAGTTAAGACATGCTTTGTAAAAAATGAAAGACTATAAACAACAAAATAATGAAACTGAATAAAATATTTCAATGGAGTTTTTAAGTATGTGAGGGATACAAAAAATAATTTAGAAGGAAATGCCTATAAAAAAATCCACTTAAAACTGTATAGAAGTTTGGGTTTTTTAATATCCTCCATTACAGGTAGAACTTCATATTGCAATAAGTTAGGGGTAAAATGAAATCTGTGCTCGTTCTGCAGCTATGTGCATTTGCAATGCTATTTACACTTCTATTTCACATGAGTAGTCAATATTTTTCACTACTGCTTTCTCGATTCTTTCACAATGCAACAAGTAAAGAAATGATAGCATTCTCCCCCTCACAGCCCACAAGAGTAAAACTGTAAGAACTGGCAGCAGTTAGACATGGTGATTAGTAACATTAGTCACAATCTTAATTTAAAAAAAAAAAATCAACTCTTTTAAGGCCACACAAGTTATTCCTATAACAATTGAAGTGTACATAATTAGTATTATAATCACTATTAGATCACTACCTGAAATTTTTTACAACTCTTTAAATCTGAAAAATTGCGATAAACTTGCTATTAGAAGGTTTCTTGCCTGTGATCTCTCATAACCTGGGGTTTTCATACAGATAATGGGTTTGCTCAGTAATTGATTTTTCACAAGTCATGATGTCTTTGAGGCCTCTCAGACAGGGGAGCCAAAAATAAACAAACATGACTCTAGGCTGGTCCTCTCCTTCTCCAGAATCCTGCTAGTACGGTACATGCTGGAAAGTCCATTCTTTATGGTTTTTGTATTAGCTTTTATATTGGCTTTTCTTTTTCTGTGAAACCCTTTGATATTAGGACTCTAAACTTTTTTAAAAAAACCATTCTCCATATCAGAATCCGTACAACTGAAAATAAAATATTGACATTTATAAAATCAGCCCAGTATGGGCACCTACATGATGAAGTGGCTCTCTTTGTGCCTTCTACAGAATACTGCACTTAAGAAATGTCCGCTGTTCTACAAAGCTTAAAATAGTAATGATTAAAATGACAGAAGTGAATAAAGTAATCTGGCAAACAGTTTTGTTCCATTTCTGTTTATTATCTCTGACCTATACTAATAACTAAAAGTCAAAGACTTCAGCATTAACCATGCATTGTGCTGTGTGGTCTTTAAGGAGTCTTTGAGCCCAGCACGTCAAAGACTATCCAACATTTCCTTGGAAACTTTGTGAGGATTATGCTACAAAAATATTTGTGCATTAGGAGTAGATGTCATGCTGTGCAGTTATACTGCTACTACTTGACAAACACCACAGTGACGTGAATGGTTACTCAGACTGCTGTACTGAAAAGAACGGATTTGGGAAAGTTGCTGCATTGCTTATCGTTACAGATTAACAAGATTCTCACTTGAACGTGTAATTATTTATTTAGGTAATACTCTATTTGTCCCTTCCTGGACCTTTGGTTACTCAATGTTGGAATTTTACTGATTCTCAAAAAAGTTTAGAGTATAAATATCTTACCACCTTTAGCCTCATTTATAAAAGTGTTTGTGTTAGAGGCAGAAAGACACATTTCTTTAGCCAGCTGATCGTGTATACCAATAGGAAATACTCTGGATTTCTTAGGAAAAATATGACTGTGCTGGTGTACTTGGAAACCACACTGGAATCCACAGAGAAAATCCCTCCTCACAGCTAGCAATACTATACTGGGCTAGGAAATCTTAAGACAAAACAAAGCTATATATAAGCACATACACATTAATCTGTACAGACTATAACATTTACAGAAAATGCTTCAAGAGAAGGATTCATTTTATTTAGAGAGGCTACTGCAGTAGCTATTAACACCTCCATCACCAGGAACTATTAGTTATTAATGGAGGCTGTGAAAAATGTAACTTAAGAAAAACCATCATAATGACAGCTGACTTAAAACCACCACCATAAAACAGTCTGTAGCTTCAGTAGGAAATTTCAGGATCCACAAGTAAAAAAACATTGAGGTTCTCTCTGATTTACCGCAATGGCATTCTTGTTCATAAAATGCTCTTAAAAATAGAAAAAGTAACTCAGCCTTCTAAGAAGAAACCAGCTTTTTGCAAATCTTCTTGAGTGTTCTGCTCTCGCTTTACACAGAGACATTTACCAGAACTTTCAACTAGCTGAACCACTTATTTTGCTAACTTTTGGTTAGATATTGTGTATGTAAGGGCTGAGTGTAAATCTGATACTGCAAGAAAATTCAAGTTCCAATTTGATCTGTCTACAGAAGACACTGGGGCTAGAACTTTCCTAAAGCTACCAAGAAAGCTGTTTGCTTAGAGAGAATTTTGCTCAAAGTAGATACAGAGTAAAATTTGAAGGGACTTTAATTAAACTGCAAAAAGGCCTCTGTACCATTTTAACGATCTAACAACTTGCTGAAAGCAACTGCATCTCTCATATGTCTCACACGATATCTGGTGTGACTAACCAGGTGGAGACTGCTATCAGAAAAGACAACTGCAGAAGCCAAGTGGGGAACTCCAGTTTCACACACATTTGAAGAGGAAGATAAAGCTGATTTGCATTGATTTTGGAAGAAAGCTTCTGGTTTTAGTTCTGTCCTTATAACCAAGACTACAAGCAAACAAAAAGCAAGGAGAAGAAAAAAATCACTTGCTGCTAGCCCTCCCTTTTTTTCCCCTTTGTTCTACTGTCTGGCAGATACCAGAGGACCATCAGGGAAAATAATGAGTTTATTTGACATCCAAGCCAACATGTGGATAGTTCAAACTTCACAATTGTAATGCAAAGCCAAGATTTGGCAAAGGAATAGTCAGTCTGTGTTGTGACACGTCACCCCAAAATCAATTGCACTGTGGGTCCTTGCATCCACAATGCATATCAGTGGCGTACCATTCCATGGAATGATACCATTTACACTGACTGGGAGATGGTGCCCTTTTCAAGTAGGTTATCTCTTAGCAGGACATTTAAGAGGCCAAATTTCACCACTTGCTTACCTGTAAAACCTGCTCACCAGAACTTCATTGGTGAATCCCATTCCTCCCCAAAACTGGAGACAGCTGTCAGTCACTTCACGGGCCAGACGTCCTGCCTTTAGCTTAGCCATGGAAGCAAATTTTGTCACATCATTTCCTTCTACATACAGAGCTAATGAAAAAAAGGAGATAAAAAAAGGAGTCACAGGCCACAGCCTTCCTCTCTGGAAATCACCTCCCCGTATTCCTTTAGCCTGAGGAGGTTCTTTGCATGAAGAGAAGCACATCTGGGAAGGCAGATGTGGGAGCTCACCAACAGCACGGTGCAGCAGTGAGCGAAGGAGCTCCACTTCAGTTGCCAGCTCTGCCAGGCGGAAGTGCACGGTTTGGTTGTGCAGCACAGACTTGTCAAACACTTTCCGCTGACGGGTGTAGTCAATAGTTTCTTGTATTATGGTTTCCAGCGGTGTCAGGACTTGAAGAAGCAAAGGACAGAACAAGACATGGTCTTAGACAGATCTGTTGTTTAGCTTCTTGTTGAAAAAGATGTTTTTCTCACATGTATAACAAGTACATTAGGTTTTCTAAAGCCGAGTTGTTCCACACACTCAGTTGGGGTGCAACTTCAATTCTGAAAAAAGCCTTCCTTGTACCTTGAAGACATCTATCTCACCCGAGCCCCAAATGCCAAAATGGAGGAGAGTGAAGGGAGGTGGGTAGAAGGGAGGGAAAGTCATAGATGATGATGATGATTACATCATGATGAGTATGTAAACTTTGCCCTTAATGCCTCATTTGGGGCCTTAGCAAAAGCCTGTGGTAACTCCTTCTTTCCATGCTGCCTGTGTCCTGAGGGTTTGTTACAATCCCTGAAAAGAAATCTGAAGGCAGACAGTGTAGTGTGCTCAGTGAGGGATGCTGTAGAAATGTAAACTGAAGGAAGCTTTCAGGGAGAAGGCAGAAACCTATTCCAAGATTAAGGAACACAAACTGACTGCTTATTATGTCTGCATTCTGTGATTGGATCCCAGCATAGAAAGGAAGGGAAAAGATTCACAGCCACTTTTAATAAATGTTAAATAGTTCTTCTAGTGGAAACAGAACCAAAATAGGATACTGCTGAAAAACAGGCTAGAGAGATGGCAGACGCTGCTTTAAAGCAAGAAAACTAGTTTGCTGCTTCTCTTTGCAGAAACTGAAAGACATCCCATTTTAAGTAGGAAGAAAAAGGAGAAGTCTATTTTCCAAGGTCACCTTTGATGTGAAGAACTAGGCTCTCAGTCTCTTGCGGCTTAGCTAGGACAAGAGCAGGTGCTGAATATGTGGAGAAATTTGTTTGGCAAGTGTGGACCTGTGTCACTATGGCAAGGAGCAGTGAGAGTTCACAAATCCATCTGTATAAGAAGGGTCACATTTTCTCTTTTCAAAATATACATATCCACCTCAATTTACATTTAGAGTCCAAACCACAAAACTCTGAATCTGAAATGCAAAATGAAACCAAGCCCTGGACTACTACAAAATCCCTTTTCCTACCTGTCAATTACTCACATGAGAGTCCCTTACAGGAGCCTGCTGTGGTTCCATATTCCTTTTTTCACTGCTTTCAAGATCACCTCTATTTCTGTACTGCTGTCATATGCAGACTCTGCATCCCGCCAATTAATTGCCATGTGCCATGATCATTCACCAGCTCTTCCACAGAGCACTATTTTTCACACGATGTCCCCACATCCAATAATCATCAGCTTTTGTCATTCCCTAAGTATTTTCCCTTCCTTTCTCATACAACTAGCCTCAATGCTTATTTTTCAAAAGAGCATATCCAGTAATCATTTGTAAGTGAAGAAGTAAGCATATACAGTCCTCATTTCTTCTGTATTATTGCACTATGCTGCCACCCTAATGCTGGTTTTATGGACCGGGAAAAGATTTCTGTTTTCAGGAACATCTCTTGAACAGAAATACTGTTCTTCCAAAGAAATATGTCATACAACACTGGGGCATGTATAACACCAAGAGCTTTTTCACTTGTATATCTATGGTCTCCAGCTTGAGAGATGCTAAAGAAACAGCAAGGAGTGTCCAGGTACCCCTTGTCCCCTGCCCCCAGACCAAAATCTGGGAAGCATACAGCTAAGTCTAAGCTGCTGGGAGGGAACTAAACAGTACATGCCAGTGCTAGGAGAGCAGAAGGAAGGTGGGAGGGATAAGGACTTTTGTTGGTCTGTCAGAGCAAGGTGCTCCAGCACAGCTTGTGTGGTTCCCAGCATCCAGTACCAGGGAAAGGGAGACAGGAAACAACAAAGAGGAGAAAGGAGCAGGACCAGATGGGAGGGAACAGAACAACAACTGTTTAGGTCCTGCTTGCAGAAGGTCTGAAGATCATGAAAGGGCTTTGGCCCATCTCTGCTCAGGCTGTCATCATGCATCATGGCTCAGAGCAGGGTCCTGAGAAAACTGCTCTCATAGTGTCAACCTCTCCACTTCACTGCCTCCTTCCTGCCCCTGCTGATCCAACCTCTTGTTTCCTTAGCTGCCCTTCTGCTTTTTCCAGGAACTGCCATTTGTACACAAAAATAAACAGGAAATTTTCTAAGGATTGCCCTGGGCTGCATCAAAAGCAGCATGGCCACCATGCCAAGGGAGGTGATTCCCCTCTATTTCATTCTTCTGAGACACCACCTGCATCCAGTGCTGGACCCCACAGTACAAAACAGACACTGAGCTGTTGGAGCAGGTCCAAAGGAGGATCCTGAGGAAGATTAAGGGATGGAGCACTTCTCCCATGAGAACAGGCTGAGAGAGTAAGGGTTGTTCAGCCTGGAGAAATGAAGGCTTTGGGGAGACTTTATTGCAGCCTTTCAATATATGAAGGGAGCTTGCAAGAAAGATTGCAACAGACTTTTTACCAGAAGTACTGACAGGACAAGGGGCACCGGTTTCAAACTGAAAGAGCGTAAATTTAGATTGAACATAAGGAAGAATGTACTGGGGTAGGAACGAGATGATCTCTAAGGTCCCTTCCAACCCAAGCCATTCTATGAGTCTAAAAAATTCTTATGATGAAAGTGGTGAACAGGTTGCCCAGAGAAGTTGTGGATGCCCCATCCCTAGGAGTGTTCAAGGACAGGTTGGATGAGGCTCTGAGCAACATGGTCTAGTGCAAGATGTTGGACTTCATGATTTTTAAAGGTCCCTTCCAACCCAAACTATCCTATGATGATATGACTGCAGGTATTTAGAGCTATGAATATATCTCTAACATGGCAAGGCTTAGCTGTGTAGCAAACAGCCATGAAATGCAGCAGATCATGAATACCATGATGGCCAACAGCCTTGTGCAACATAACATCACAAAATACTTTGCCGGTCATACCAGTACAGAAAACCACCATTCACACCACTGAAACCCATTTTCCCTAAGAACTTTTCTTTCCTGTATATTTGTTTCTGTTTTTGTTATAAAGTGTTCTCCACATGATCAGACAAATGCAGCCCCATGGGTTTCACCTGACAGCATGTGCAGGAAATGTCACTCTAGGGCAGCCTAAGGAACGCGTGATCTACCACACAGCTGAGAATTGTGAAAGCACTTGAAGTTGCCAAATGCAGAATAATCCTTTCCTCGTACATCCATCCAACTTACATTTTTCCACTTGAAACATCTTCTCACTGTAAAGATTCTTTGCCTTGCTGTGTTTCCTCTCAAAAGAAAAGGAAACAGATATATTTTTCTCAGGTTGCAGCTGACCACTCTCTAGTGAGATGTCCAGTAAGCTCTTAAGCTGAGCAATCTGTCTCTTAAGGATGTGTGTTGCCCATGCAAAAGGACCTGTCATCCTGGTTACTGACCATGACTCAATGGTGCTCATAAAATTGAGATTGCAGGAGCAGATAGAAGTAATTAGAAAAGTGCCATTCTGCTCTCTCACACACATTGAGACACCCTCTTTGTCTCCAAGTTAAGCAATTCACAGAACAACTGTTTGCTTTCTTGTCATAGCAACATTCTTTTCCTGTGATCGGTGCAACAGGTCCTCAAAAGGACTGAGTGTCACAACATGGCAGACACATGTGGCAGCTCTTTTCTTTCCATGAAGGAAGAAACACAGCGACTTTGACCAATGTCAGTGATAACGTGTCACTCTAAAGGAAAGACCACACCTGGGACCAAATTTTGCAATTCCAGGAAGTTGGTTTTCCATCTGTATTTTAAATCTGTTTGACTGAAAATACATTTTAAAAGCAAAAATTGGTGTAGAAGGAAACTGGCCGCAAAGAATATAATTGATAAAGAGAAGGCCGGAGCACATGGTACTTGAAACTAAAAATACATAAAAACTAACCAACCAAACCAAAAAACCCCACCCACAACAACAACAACAACAAAAAACCAAACACAACAAAACTACACCCAAAAAGGAAAGGTAGACAAGAATGGTGATCAACTGCCTTTCCTTAGGGAGCAGTGAAAGTGAGGATTCCAGGACTGGTCCCTAAAGTGTTTAAAAACAGACTGACAATTTTCAGCATCACATGAATAGCCATGCAGTGGGAAGGAACGGAAACATCCTTCTGAGGGGAAGAAGTGAGGATGAGTATTAAACATGTAGACCTAATCACAAAACCGCTGAAGGCATGTACATTGTTTTGCATATCTGAGCCTTCAGCGAAACACTCGTGGTTGGACATATGTTAAACCATTTGGAGGAGTGGAAGTTAACAGCTAGATGTTGTGGTGTAACAAATTGCACCCATCAAATATTGGGCTCCCTTCTAAACGAGGGTTTCTTGATTACCACAAATGGTTACCCCCTAAGGTCAGAATGCTGCCTAAACCATAGGTCTTGTCCCTGCTCCCAGTGCTTTCATGCATTTTATATCAGAGAGTGAATAAAAACTAAAACAGAGGGCTCAGCAAGGTATAACACAGTAGCCACCACACTGTAGGAGGCAGATCCCTCTCTCTTGGTGAGCTCCAAGGGTCTTCTTCCCTGTGGGCCCCTTCCTGGCCTTCCCAGGCTGCTCATCCAAGGTAAGGGTTCACCTGCTCCTGCTGTGTTGTTCTAGGGAAAAAGAATTGAAACCTTGTGTCCCATTTCCTGGCAGAGCATGGTGACTGCCAGGCAGTTGTGCAAGGCTGGACAGTACCAAGCTGCCAGTGGTTTTAACAGGAGTGATCTAACCTGCCAGGCTTTGTGTGTCAACCCTGTCAGTGCACGTCACTTTTGCCTGGAGCGTGACTAATGCTGCAGGCTACTCTGCTGCCTGGGGAGTATCACTGCAACGCAGAGTTTCTGACAGTTTGTTTAATTTAGACTTCAAATCAAGCACAAAAATGCACAGTGCACATCCTTGCAGTCTGTGTACTCCTTGATTAAAGCAGGACCAGTGGTAGGATCACATCTTCAGCTTGCCTGAGCCTGCAGTGACATCCCTTGCAAGTGTAACCTCTTGTCCTTTGCTAAAACTACTCTCAGACTTAATATTTATCTCAGGCTCTTAAACCAAAGATTTTTTTTTTTTTAAAGCATTTGAAGTCCAAAATATTTGGCCTGGGATGAACCCAAAACAGAGAGTCATTTTTTCTTTGCTCACTGAATCAAAACACCACTTCTTAAAATTCCGTATTTCCCACATAGACAGTAGAGACAGGGAATGCACAAGAGCACAAATACAGGGACATGATTAAGACAACACCGATATTTAAAGAGGACCAGTTTTCTTACCATGAACCACATTATATTTAACTTGAAGCAAACACTGGTGGGTAGGGGAAAGTTTGGAGATTGAAAATGGACAATCCAGACTTGGATGTGGTGTCCTGGAATATCCAGAATCCATACAACCCAAATACATGGATTTGAGTACTGCCTGATTTCTGAGTAACAGAAACTCTGACAACATAATTTCAGGGAAAGAACTTTGGTGCTGTACCCCTTAATGTCTGAAGTATACAGAGGTAAAAAACAAAGCTCTGGCATCCTGTAAGAGATACTTCTTTACACAGCCAGTAAGTTAAATTTATAAAATACAGGATAAATATCATAATTTACCTACTACAGGAAAAGTTGCCATCCTTCTATTCTATGCCAGTATTTTGATAGCCTTTGCACTATATTTGTAGCAAACATAACATATTTTCTTATCAGCAGAGAAGTACCAAGAGAAGGAAACAAAACAGCCTCTGTGACGCCTCACAAAACACTTTCTTTCAGGTTTTCTGGAGAAAATTGAAGGTTGTCTGTATCTAGGCTATGACAGATTCCAAAAACAGATCGTAAAATATCATTGCAAGTTACAAGAAAAGGAAAGTGCTGTTAGTCATGCAAAGAGTGACCCCTGTGTCCCTACCCAGCCGCAGAAGCACAAATGATGACTTACCAGTGGCTACTCCCCACAGCCGCTCTTCTTGGAATTGCAACATCTGATATGTAAAACCCTTTCCTTCCTCACCGATGATGTTTTTGCTGGGGACCTTTACATCTTCAAAAAAAATCTGAGCTGTGTCCGATGATCTCATACCCAGTTTGTCTATCTTTTTAGCAACATGAATGCCTGAAGAAAAGAAGGTATTAGAAAGGCATCAAAAAATAAAAGCACTACGAACAAGTACAGCGTTTTCAGAAAGAAAGGTTTGCAGATGTGAAGGTACATTCCAAGACTACAGTGAAACCTACCTTTAGGAAAAACCTAACAGTATTCTGGAGTAAAATGGCCCAAATCCTCTTTCAAAGACCTTTTCCATTTTATTTAACGAACAAATCAGAAACTTGAGTTGTAAAGGTCCCACTTTTCATTATGTCCCCAAATAAGAAATGTTTACTAGTCATAATAATCTCACTTCAGGCTCATATTCAAACAATGCATTATTTATTTGCTTGTGTTTGATTTTTATCTAGCACTGTAATATAATGTTGGAATTCAATTTGGCAGTATTTGCTGAGTGCCTGCACTGCTGTGAAACAGTAGAGAAATATTCAATAATGAAAAAAATAGAGCTATGTTTTAATGTGCAACCAGAGAATTTCTCCTCCTGGAAACCCTCTTCCTTCCCTCTCTTCCTCATTTGTCCTCTTCTTCCTAGCCTATCCTGATTTCTTCTGGAACAATGATCATAATTCATTCCTCTGAGTTTTCATGTGGATGTGTTTGTGGGAGGGTTTGCTTCCACACAGACCTCCCTACATTGCACTGATTCCGACCCCGCATGCAATGGTCTGTTGAAGATGAACCCATTTCCTTCAGCTCTGTCCATGTAAGAGTTCAGCTACCTCATCACACCAGGCAGGACTCCTTCCTGTTGTTTGTTTTTTCATAGCTACAAGGTCTACCACTGTGACATGAGAGTTTAACAGGCACCCACTGTTTTCTTGTGGCAATTCCACTGCCTTCTGTTTTTACCTCCCTGCTGCTCTGGGGCTAATGCAATTATTCAGGATGGAAGCCAAGAATGTTGCAAAGGTAAAAGGACAGCAACCAGTCTAGAAACATTGAGCAAAACGTGCTGATTTATATCTGCCAAGTCAATATGTAGAAAAATGGTCTTCCAAATCAACATCTTTTTGCAGAAAACCAAGCCTTTTCATTATTCACATACATAGTATTCCAATCAGTTTTGTGATGAGGAGGTATTCTGTTAATAATATCTTTCTCTTTATTCTAGTTTTTTCAATCCTCTGATACTCTCTAACATGGCTCAGTAGGAACTGGTCACCACACAGATTGTTGTGGTCCCTCTATACTGGTTTGTACCTTGCTATCCTTCCTGGCTTTCAGAGAACATCTATTTCGAACTAATGTAGATATCTCAACTTTTACTCATAGGAGGCTTTCAGCCATCTGAAAATCACTTTGGTTTTGCAGGCAGAAGAAGATGGCAGTCATTTCCTTCAAATTCACTCTCTCTGGCTGCACTGAATAAGGCTATGGAAAGTTTCATCTCTTCACAGAGATGAAATACTGACAGTGTTTCCAAATGCCAAGACTGCTCTCAGGATAAGGTCCACATAGACATCCACAATTTCTACTCAAGATTTTCCCTGCCAACCAATCTGTAAACAGATTATGTGTTAGGAATGCTTGCTTTGATATGTGTTCCATGCAGGAAGAAAATCAGGACAGCTGTATAAAAATTCTTGATTCTTGAATTGAAAATTATCCAGCATTTTGCACCCAGTCAGCCAAAAAAGCATTTATGGTTTGTTTCTGTATTAAAATCAGAGCTAAACAACCACACACTGAGCCGTCTACAGGCCTAAATGATTTCTGGAACATTGTTTCCCATTGGAATATTACTACTTGGTTTCTTTGAGAGTCTCAAAGATCATGTCTTTGGTCCACAGCCAGCTGGTTTTATGCAATCACTGCTCCTCACCCATTCAAAGATGCACTTACTGCTCTTGTTAGTGGGTGGTTTACTAAGGACTCTTCTGGAAAAAGCACAACTGCTGCCAGTTCTTATATTGCTTAATCAATACTGTTGTTTTCTTCCCAGATCCACATACAACAACAACTGTTGAGGAGAGCTCTAACAGGTTTGGTTGAACTAGATAAACGTGCTAATGATTTCTATCTGCAATTCTTCCAGATTGGGTTGTGTGTTCAAATTTCATGAATCCAGCAGCATCCCCCTTTGTCATGCCTCACCAGTTTCACTTGCTCTTAATTAATGTTTCTTACCCAGAAAGAGGTCATACTGCATCAGCCTCCTGTAATACCCCTTCTGTTGCTAGCACAGGCTTTACATTTTGGAAGACAGTGATACATAATTATCTCTCTGGCCAACACATGGGCATAAAAATCTTCTTTTACTTCATTTAATTATCTTTCTTCTCTTCATAAGGGGCACTATAAATGAAAAATTATCAGCAGCAGCAGAAATCACATGTCCAGATAACTCCTGGAATCTGTCTGTATTAAATAAATCACACACAATAACAAAAAAATCTCTACTTATTAAGGCCAAGTGCCTTACTCACTAAAAGCACTCTAACAGAGCCATTTATGCTACTTGAACCAGTATTACTGAGATGGATTGCTCTATTTCTTCCTTGGAAGTTCTTCCCAGACATCTTTGATTTTTCATTTTCTCCCACTCCTCCAGCCATCTGACAATCTCTTTTATTTCCTATATTCTATCTCCCAAGAAAGGCAGTTGCTCTCCTGACACCATTTAGTGCCATTACAAATGGAAACAGACACGTTTTAAATTGCAACCTGAGAAACATGCTCTTTCCCTTCTCCTGGATGCTTTTCTCTTTATTAACTCCTCCTTGGAGCCTACTCTAGTGTTATCTGAGGACTCAAGAGGACAAAAACTTACCAGATTAGAGCTGAAAGCCATTTATCTATATACCTTATAAACAAACATTTTACTACTTGTTAGATTACCTTTCCTCACATAAAAAATTCAGCCTTTTTTTTTTAAGAAGTTGTTAGTATGAGGAGTATTCACTTAATTTGGATGTCTACTGGATGTCTACACTGCTGCTATTGAAATTCCCTTTCTGAGAAATGTATTCAGCAGTCTCTGTCAAACTAGGTCATGATTTGCTTCACCCCAGAATAGTGTATACATCTAAAATTAGACTAAGCAAACCTTATTTCATATCTCCAATGAACTATTAATTGCTGAAATTAACAACTTGCTTTCAGACTTGAAATTTTTTTCTCTTTTTTCCCCCCACTAAATCGTAGAAGGACAAAATTGTTTAGATTTTCATGAAAAATGATTGACCTTGCACAGTGGATCATTTGTTACCCAGACATATAGGCTGGTGACTGCAGCAGTGAGTCAGACATAACACATTTGCTCTCCATTGCAGCTGTTCTGGAGCTTTGACACACATACATCCACAGACGTTAGAAAGTGCATCATTCGGTGATATCCTCCAGACGCTTCCTGTAAGTCTTGGTCTGTTGCCCTCCACAGAGTACAATCTTTGGCCAACAGACATCCTTAGGATGTATCAAAACAGATGGAGCTTCCTGAAGAAATCTCACTGATACGACTCACCACTGAGCACAATCAGCTGTCTCAATACTTCATTTCAAAAGATCACCAATCTTAGTAGAGTGACCCTTTAGTAGATAAATATCTGTATCACACAGAAGAATTAGTATATACACTTTGAGGACTGCAATTTTTGTTTCTAGGAAGACTTCTACACTTCTGCAGATCAGCTTCAATCAGGCAATCTTTCTACTCTAAATCTATTTAATGCAGGTAAAGAAGGTCTGTGTGTAGGTTGTGAGATCTAAAAACTACCCCCTCCTAGAGTTAGAACAATTCATGTGTCCTTTTGACATAAGCAAAGTAACTGAAAACCTGTAAGTCAATATCTGCATATTTGATTTGCCACTGGCAGTGGGTCTGCTGTTCTGTTGTTTTCGGGAGACTGATCTCAGAAAAGTAGTGTTGCATCTGCATTCTGACCCTTTCATGAAAAATAATAAGAAGGACTTCATTCACTTATCAGCAGATAATCTGATAAGTAAATTTACCTGGAAATTCAGGGGGATTCTGGCTCTGAGTTACATGTTCACTGATCATTTATCAATAAGGACAGTATACAACTAATAAAGCAGTTCAGGTCCATCTCCTGTGAGCTCCCATTCAAAGCCTGTCTTGAATAAGCAGAGCTTGTAGAAACACAACCCACTCAGAACTTTCTTAATTCCCAGGGCAACTCATTTGCTTCAGTTACTCCATACTGAAATTCACTTAAAAGACATTCCCTTAAGAAGCTCTCATTATTCTCTTTTGCAACCCTGGAGACCTGGGTTTTGTTCTCAGTCTAGTCTGAACATATCACATTCACATCACTGCTGTGGTGATGTTCCTATGTGTGAAATGCCTGTAATGCCAGTAATGACATATATTTTGTATGTAAAATACTCTGAACTGAATTAACAAAAATGCCATAAGCTTGAATACTTTATATGTAAAATAATATACACTATTCCATATTAAAAAATATAACATTTTAAATTATGTATTAAATATATTATACATTATGTATTGCATAAATTAATACATTGCATATTTTTCAATATTAAAATGAGTGACTACCAAAAAGATTTAAAAGCTTTTGAACAGTTGTCAAAACTGCAACAGATTCCCACCAGTACAACCTTAAGTGCATCCTCTCTGAATAATGCCCTTCATGCATACAACACATTATGTCTGCAAGGTGTGCAGACTACTCAGGAACAGACACTGTGTGGGCTGTACCACTGAAACGTGTACCCTTAGATCAGGATGTGTTTCTTCCACATCTTCACTCAAATTATTAGTCTTCTTCAAAAACAAACCCCTACTTCCAAGATATTTAAATCTTTTTCTCCAGCCCACATTTAACTCACAGGCTATTTTTGCAATTTAAACTGATAGTGCCCTGGCAGAAAGATCCCTTTGCACAGCACAGCCATGAAGCACTCGGTATGCCTGCACTTCTTTTCAGCGAGCCCATCAGGCTGGATGGGGGAGGATGGTTATCGGATGAAGATCAGGACCACCCCCACAGCAGAGCATTGCATCCTTCTAGCATTTAATATAACTGGTCAGTAAACCCACCCCAACAGAGTCAGATCTACTCATGGGTTCCTGGGAGGAAGGTAATGGCATATGGGTTTAGAACCTCTATACTGAGAGGTATTCCCCAAGTTTGAAATCTCTAAATTCTTTATCCTTTCATTTTCATTTGGTTATGAAGTATTCCCATGCAAACATATCTTAAAAGCATCTATAAGTTCACTAGTAATGAAAAGGGCTCTCCATGTAAAATTATTTGGGAGTCACAAGCTGAAGTCTTCAAAATAATTAACTTTCTTCCCCATTCTATTTTTTCATGGAAGTGTGCAAATGCATTTCAGTATCAAATTCGTATGGCACCTAACTTAGAATAGCATTTATGGGTGCAGTCCTTTCTGTCAAACACCTTTTCTTATTGTATTAGGCATATACAAAAACACCAATAAAATCAAATTAGAAGAGAAACAGTTCTGTGTTATTACCAGGTAGATTCATTGGCAGACATATGAGAGATTTATTTCGATGGGGAGGTCCTTCACTGGTGTTTGCCAGCAGGCACATCCAGTCTGCTTGGCTCCCGGACGTAATCCACATCTTACCACCATTTATAACATATTCATCACCTTTTCTCACAGCTGTTGTCTTGATATCTATTTCAAAACATAGGAAATGAAGGGTTATTCTTGTGAAGGCAGGATAAATTGATTCCTGTACAACTGGCAGAGCCACTCTCTTGCTCTGACAGACAACTAATATTTGGTTCTCCCTCATACCTCCCAAGTCCTCTAACCATTCCAGGCACAAAGTAAACCAGTCTGGACAACTCTTGGAAGACAATCCAGGGAAACAGGACCAATACTCTTACCCTCCTTTAGGTGGAGTCTTCATCCCAGTGGATGAAAGCAGAAAACTCCCTAAGTAAATGTGGTAGTCAAAAACTCGGGACAGAAGCATTTCACTCCAAGGTAATCTATTAGTGGTTCTGTGCACATTAGTCACTGAGGAGGCCTTTAATTTCAGAGTCTCAACTTAAACAAACATAAGTCTCAACACCCATGTGTGAATAAAGATATACCTACATGCACTTCCTGCATGTTCTTGGTCAGAATGGTGCATTAACTGCGAAGCTGGCAAGCTATCAAAAGGCCAAGTCTAAATGCTATGAATAGCTGTACATGATGGAGTTCTAAACACCTGCTATTTATAGCCACTGGCAAAAAATATTATTTTCTTCTGTGTGCAGAAGGCATTATTTTCTTCTGTGCACAGCCCTAGCTGCAACAGAGAGCCGGAGTGAACCATTAGTTAATATTTACACTTCAGCAGAATTTCCAAAGGGCTGGCTTTTTTCCCCTGCAACCAAACTTCTTCAACTAGAACCCCAGCTAAGGAAGACTCTCCAACACATATCCAGCTATAAGTGGGTGATGTATAAGAGAACTTCACTACACCCCTAATAGCACCTATAAATCTAACAAGACTATACAGTCTGTAGGAGCCCACTTACTGAGGGGGACTGTAGATTTGGAGGGTGGGGGTCAGACACCAAAGTGGAGGCACATTTGAGTCATCTTGTTATGCTTTCATACTCACTCACCTCAGTCTGCACATGAATGCTCTTCCAAAGGCTCTAAACACAAATCGAAAGCAAAACTAAGTATCTGATATTCATTTACAAGACAAACTAGGACTAAGGTAAGCATGGTTGAAAAAATTGCTAACGAACAGGGGGAAAATGATGGGAGGAAATTGTATAAGGTGTAAAACAAAGGAGTATGGGATATAGCTACTGCTAAAGGAATGCACAAGCAGATAATGATGAACAGCAAAGGGATAGTACTAATGTGGATAACAACAGTAGCCATAGAGCTATTCTGTCTATGAAAAGATTATGCCAAATCTGTCCAAGGGACTCAATATGAAATCTGTATAATAATAAAGTCCAAGAAAGTGAAGGAATCTAAACTACTGACGCTCATAATACATGAACACAGACACTGGACAATCGTATACGTGGAGACTAAATAACAAGTGAAGGACATACAAGAGCTGGAAAAAAAATATGACTGTACTGAAATAGTGTTACAGGGATGGCAGCATACACAGCCATTTACATCACACACGCCTTTGTTGTGGAACAGTTACTGAAGAGATTAGATAGAGGTTCCATGGAAGGTCTGCAGAGGAACAATGTGTTGTTACCACAAATGTAAATAATTCTTGCAAGTGTGGCGTCACTGGCTGCTAGTCACCCAAATATAGATTAAAGAACAAATGCCTTACTAATGAGAATGTTCAAGTACTCTCAGATTCAATGGTTGACATTTTACTTCAAACACTTGAGAAACAACTTTTAAAAATGAACATATGAAGAGTTGATTCATTTTAATTAGAATAAAAATGATCAAGTCAATATGTTTTATGTTTAAAACACAGCAGGCTTTGAAAACCTACTTAACAATTTACTAAAGTCAAGTGGACTTAGGGATATGGCTATGAAGACAATTTGGAATGTTTGACTAACTATTCTTGCTGATAGAGCATAGCTCTGGGAAAAGCCTATTGCAGTGAGTAATTTGCAAGCCCACACCACTGACTCTGTAGATTTTATAACTCAACAACTTACAGAGCATGCTGTGAGGACCCGTTCTATGAAAGAGCACAAGGCATCACTGAAAGGCATATGATACAGTTAACGTCATCTAAGCAACCAGGGCCAGTCACTTCACTACTCAAATCACACACACTCAAGTCTCAATTTTTCTTTTCCACTGTTCTCTTGAGTCCAGCCATCCTCTAAATAGATTTGGCTAAAGGCAAGGTTGGCTTCAACTTTTAAGGCCAATATTACAATCAAAGATAAGCAACACATATTCTCAAAGTAAATGGAGAACACATATCTGAAATTTGCATCATTAGCAAAGAAGAAAAAACAACCAAAGCTATAAAAAATCCCTTCAAGTCTAACCGAATGAATAATCACTTAAAAAAACCCCAGGAGATGACCTGCAGGAAAGGAACAATTAATCATCAAAGTAAGCTACAGTTTGGAGGTCAGAAATAAGAACTGTGACAAGTCAAACAAAGTTAAATCATGCAGATGAAAACCAACAAAATCAAAGAAGATTGAGGTGGCAAACAAAACTTTTCTAGCCACAGAAATAAAAAGTGAATGGGAAAAAAAATGAGGCATATAGAGGAAACCTCAAAAAAGAAATATTCCACAGGAGATTACAGAGAGATTCACAATACAGATGACAAAGCAAAACATCTACAGGAAGGACTGTACAGAAACTGAAATTAGTGTAAAGAGAGGTTGCCGGTTTTGGCAATCTGCACAGCCTCAGAATACATTTGTAAGGAAAAGATAATTCAATTTACCTATGGTATCTTAATTAAACCCAACCCGATTTATTATGAAAAGGGATTTTCTAGAAAAAAGGAGAACAGGAAAAATCCTATTGGACCACCCAAGCTAAAATTGACATTTCTAGGTAAGTATGAATTAAAATTTGAAAAGAACTAGGCAAAAAACCAGAAATGTGCACAAGGAATCTGGCAAAGGGGAAATTGCATCAGGTTACATTAAAAGAGGAAGTGCTGATGTGCAGGGAGGGTACCAGCTGAGCTCCTCATTGCATATCAGCCTTTGGACAAAGCTTACTGAATATTTCCATTAATGATCTTTAAAAGGATAGGAATACACTAATGGAATTTGCTGGTGAACGAACCTGGGAGACATCATCAGAACAGACAACTAAGATATTACCTAGCAAGAAAGGAAAGATCTTGAGTTTTCAAATTCAGCATGGTAAGTACAAGTACCTCTACCCAGAAAAACAGAAGGACTGGATTCCACTGAGAAAAAATGGGGCAAGATATCTATGTCAGTGAGGTAGATATGAACAGAATTATTAAGTACTGTTGCCTGAAGACAGAACTTGAAGAAAGAGGAAGTGTCTTCCATGCTGTGTTCTTACATATTCCCCACAGACAAACAGCAAAGCATGCTATAAATTGTGGAATAGTAGTGAGATAGAATGAGACAAAACAATTAAAACTAACATAAATGTGTATGATTTGTGCTATCAAGAATCCTGAAATTAAAGATATGTTCCATACCAACCGCACTGTACTGTTCTTCTTCTCAAGTCAAATTTGTACCAGATTTTGTTGCACTTGGTCATTGTACTATGTACAATATACAACAACTACATTTGAAAGCAGACAGGTGTTCCTTCAAATTGACATGAATTTTGTATTAGACTAATGGTCACAGTACTTTTTGTTTGATGAATTTTGAATAAATTAGTTTGAGGCACATTTCAGTTCTCATGTAGATAAACACTTTCCTTTTCTTCCATGTTCATATCACCTTCAGTAATCTTGGAACTGGCAGCAGAAAATGCTAGAGATACCTTCCTCTGTGTCATTCTTCAGGATAAAATATACCAGCTCACAGGGCAGAAGTATGTCCCCAACTTGCTATGTCCCTCCACTTATCTGAGGGAGACAAACATCCTAATAGCATAAGAAACCAAAGCAAGTACCATGAGCAGCTTCACACAGTTCAGTCTACTTTAGAGCTGGACCACCTGGAGATGGTATGTTCTCTATCTTGTGTAAAACACCGCTACTCAGAACACAAGTTAGTGCTGCTCATGACTAAGTTGTTCATTAAATTACTCTTTGGAAGCACTGTAAGCTAGTTTCTGGATTTATACCAGGAATTAGATCTTCCATGACAGGTTAAAAAATCTTGTCATTTCACCCTGCAGTCTTCCTTCAAGCTGCAGCATAGGTTTATCAGATAATCCTAGTTGATTCCAAATTTGGTTTTAATTGCATTAATCCAGGTATATCATACTGATTAAAGTAGATGATAAACAACAAGAATATTTATGTTACTTGTTATCTGGAACACTGCATCAAACAAATTATATTCATATTTAGAAATTTCTGATAATCACCTAATTAAACTGGAGAAGCATTCATTAAAATAAATGATGTTGTATTTCCAACATTAGCAAAATTCAAATTCCTGATTATTTTAATGAAAAACAAGTCTATAAAAATATAGAATTTTTCTTATGAAGAAATTCAATTAACTAGAAAGGGAAACAGCAATGGATCATTTAGTCCCATTATTTCATTATCACCATTAACTCTCTTGAAATGTACCTGCTGCACTGTTGCTCAAGCATTGGAAAATTATCTGTTTGTTCTTGAGAAAACAAAGTGAGTTTGGTCAAGGAGACAGACATAGGACTCCTCTGATCAAGAAACTTCTATCAAACTCAGCAAGTTTGTCTACAGGAAGACATTGTCTCAGGAATCTTTTAGAGTACAATATGTTTAAATTAGCCATGCTCTGTTCAACAACTAAATCTCTAAAAGTTTTTTCTTATCAATCCCATTTCCTTGAAGCCCATGATTCACTGTCAGAGGAGACATCTTTCACATCTTCTGCAATATCTATTTTAATTTAATTGTTCAAATTTTCTACTGCCTCAGGCACTTCAGAATAATAGGTTTATTTGTCCATGTTTTTAAACATATTCTTGCACTAAAACAAGAAAAACAGTTGCATTCAAAGTAACTAAATCACAAAGCTAATAGATTTGACATGCCAAATTCTTCATTTGTTGTAAATAAAATAATCACCAACTCAGAGATACTTTTCTTCTCTGAAATGACAGAAGAGGCTGAGGTGAATTAAGGATGAGCAAGAGGAACCCATTGTGAAAATGATGCCATCACTTTCAGAACAGAGTGGCTCTGCAGTTTGCTCACATTTAAGGGAGAGGTCTTTTTTAAGGCAGTGCAAGTCTTAGTGCAGTTGAACAGCTCATGTTACCTTCCATGTACATGAGCAAATTTGCATGACTGACAGTGGCTGTGCAACTAACGCGGTGCTGGAGTGCTCTGACCAGTGGTGAGCCCGAACAGAACAGGGTGGACAGCAGAAGGACATCACTAGGAGAAAACTGGGGCCAGCATTACAGGTGCATTCAGCCTATACAAGGTTATAGCTATTGATTCACCTGACAAAGGCATTACATTTAATTGATTTTGGATGCATCAGAAGCATGTGTTACTGCTCCTAGAATGTTACTTTTTGCCCTCACCATACCAGTCTTTCTTTCCCTCATGTGTCTTACAAATGATGGTGGCAAACAGAAGGATCAGAGAAAACAGATTATTTCTATTAAAATAACAGGCTGTCTAAAGTTGTTAGTTTGCGAGTTTAACATACTTGCGACATCAGATCCAGCTCCAGGTTCACTGATTCCCAAGCAAGCCACAAAATCGCCAGCTATAGTGGGTACAAGGAACTGTTTTTTCAACTCCTCAGAACCAAACCTGCAATAATATAATGAAAAAGATAGGATCTTAAAAGCTTTTGAAAGTAAATTTTATGTAGAAGTTAGTTGCAAATTTTGCTCTACCCATACAATCACTTTTCCTATGACTAGGTAAAAGCTGTCCCAGAGCAAAAAGAGAGAACAAATACCTTCCAAAGGTATGATTCAAAGCCTTCACCAGAAGTGCAGTCACAATCATTTCAAACAAGTTTTAAAGAGTATTCAGGTATCTTTCTCCCACAGAAACATGGGAGTAAGAAATGTGGTCTAGATACCCAAAACCTATCTTTATGATTATTGCTTTGAGAGCTATCAGAACTAATAAACATAACCCCTGCAGTCTCTCCTCAATACTCCTCCACCAGTCTGCAGTCAGCCAGGATGGAGGACCTGCTCTCCGTACATCTTCTGACTTTTGCACACACCAGCTCTTTGCCAGGATTTAGTGGTGACTGAAAAGTTATGACGTGTGATGGAAACACCTTCTGCAAATATCAGTTTTTAAATTATTAGTATTTCACATCTGCATTTAAATCACACAGTGAAATCCATTAGTGCTTCCTCTCAGCTCTCCTTTCAGTCTCCACAAAAATAAAAAATGAAACAGCAAAGTGTTGATGGCATTTTAACACAAAAAATTCGCTTGGCCGTATTTCAATCCCATTAAAGGACACATGCTATTTTCCCAATGTTTAGCTGCTTGCATCCATTCAAAATATTTCATGGTTAATTCTCTCCTAATTAACATTCACTGATTTTGTCTTGCAGTGTGAATGGTGAGTGCAGTCCAATTCTTGAACCTCTCTCGTGCAACTGAAAAATTCCTCAGGTCATGTAATGAGTTTTCTGTGCGCAGAAATCCATAAAAGTCAAGTTCTTCCTCAGCCTCCTCTTCGGTATGAGGCTTCTCAGGTCATCATCACCACTCATCTCCTTGGGCTCACTGGCTGCCTCAGCAAGTTGCAGTTACCTGGGCTTTCCTTCTAAAACATTGTCCCGGTACTTCAAAGAAGTGATGCCATTCTAGCTAAGACTAAGCTGTCCCTTCCACTCCAACTCTGGCACCAAGGACATGGGACAGCCAGAGAACAGACTGGGATCTGGCAGACACTTTCACTTAGTTCTCAGAGGGAGCTCAATTCCTAGTCTTGCCTTTGCTGATAATCATAGCAGCAATCCCAAATAAATACAAGAAAGTAAGTCTGGAGTGCTTACTCCTTCCTCCAGCATACTGGAACTAAGTCCTCATGTTTGTTACATAGTGTACTTTTTTTTTTCTTTTTAATTTTCCTTGGGACATGATCAAGTATAGTCAGCTGAACATTCATTACACAAAAAAAAAACAAACCAAAACCAACACAAATCAAACAAACAACATGGAAAACCAGATTATGAAAGTAGCTAGTGGGGATTTTTGGCAATGATTTCTGATGCTTGAAACTTGGCCAACTTTTAGTATTTCAACTGAGGATTTTCACAGCAAGAACTTTTCTCAGAATAATGTTTTTGGTTTGATATCTTTGTTTGTATTAAGTTCCAGAAAACAGTTCAGTTCTTTCCAAAAATGAGGTTACAGAAGAAGTTATTTTGCAATTAAAAAAATTCTGGCAACGCTATTTTCATATGATCATGGGTCTCTGTGCCTTACAGGAAGCAATGCAGCTCAGCAAGAAGCTAACTATTGTGTTAGAAACATGTAATTTCTGTAAAATTCTACCCATCTTATATGCATTCCAGAAAAATTTCAGTTTTGCACAAATGCAATACCCATTTCTTCCTAGTTTAACAGCTCCAGAATTAGAAAACCGTTTGCAATGAGATCATGCTCTGGCTCAAGACAGACATGACCATGTCTGTTTTCTGGGCTGGGGCCATACCCCAGGGCATAGTTTCCCATGTGATTAACTGAGCAGCCTTAGCAACACTCTGAAGTATATTTCTATGAATGTGTGTATTCATACACACATTAAGTCCACAGTCAGTAAACCTTGCTAATGCTGAGTAACCCACAAATCCCAAGTGTGAGATTCTGACACACAGTGCATTGCACAAAAGTGACCCATCCTTTCTTGCTCCACATTTTATAAGTAACACTGGTGGGATGTCATGAAAACAAAGACAAAAATGCCAGTGGTATACAATCTTGTAAATAGAGGGTATAAGAAAAATAAAACCATAGCAAAACACAGAGGTAAGAACACTTCAGTGATCCATACAGTTCTCTTTATTTGTTTTGATTGTCAGCTGCTGCTTCTCTCCTTTATGGCAAACAAGAAATCAGACAGTAAAACTAGCTTTTTGGATATTAATTCCCAGGTATGCTGCTGTCTAGGGTGGAGAAAGAATCGGTGAAATGTAAGTTGATTAAATAGAAAAGCACTCTCTTCCCACTAAATAATCATCATTATCCTTACTGTTTTCCTATAAACGATAGGGAAAAAAAAAAAAAAAGGAGAGTTCACTGCCTACTGCTGAGATAAAGCAGCTCTACATTGATCTGATATGACTCTGGATGTGACACCCTACAGGTTTGTTTATAAGCTCTGACAAATGTGTATCATTGACTTTCTCAGCTAAGAGCTGCTTTTTTCACTCTACTTGTAAGCAAGGTACTGAAGTTTAAGAACTGAATGCATTTGGAAGACCTGAAAGAAAGTTATATTCTGAACCAGGTCCATCAAAGGTTCGATCACTGCTGACAAAGTTTTTGCATTTAGTTCTCAAATTCAGAAAGCCCTACTTTTTCACTTAAAGGATTCTGGGAATTAGGGGAATCACATTCACTGAGTTAGTTCGCAGGTGCACTCAATACATGCTGGGTGAATTCTGAATAAAGTCCAAAGTTAGGTACGCCAACAAAGTGCTCCAGAGATTTTTTAGGGGATGATGGTTGATTCCCATACTACTTTTTGATTTGTGTTTCACTGATCCATCACGTGTAGCAATGCAGTTAAGATGTAAAATACGCACTATCTCTTTGAGCTTGTTTAGAATCCCCACAGTACACTGATATCTTTATAGAAACCATCCCTAGGCAAAATTTCCTGTAGCAACCAGCTTTCTCTTTTCATTACCAAGTTTCACTTTTACATGTGAAGAGTGGGACATTTTACTGTATAAATAGACAATGGAATTGACTTAACAGTGGGGGAAAAATTCACTAATACAGACACAAATTCAGTTAACAGATTTCATCAAGTTAACAATATTTTCACACATTTTCCAAGAACATTCACTCTTGGATTTCACTAGCACAAATGTGCATAGCTCCACTGCTTTACCACAGAAGACCAAAAAATCTGCCGTGGAACAAAATCCCATCTTCTCTTATCCACAGATTTTCTTTAAAACCCTGGAAATGAAAGGCTGCCATGAGGGCAAGGTATTATTCTCCAAAGTCTTTTAAAATACTATTTTTATTATCAGTTGGACTTATAACTAAGCTGCTTTTTCAACAGACATACTGAACTCCATGCTTGCAGCAAGCTTTTGGTGTATTACACAAAGGAGAAGAAAACTTTAGGAAAATTTGCTGTAGATGAGACCTCCAAAGTCACACACACCAAGCAGAAGGATAAGTGGATGTCAAGGGAATAGAGCTCACATTTCAGACTCTACAGTAAATTTAGAGGTGTCTTCATTCAGAATGGGGGAAGGAGGCAGAAAATCAAACTAAAAAAATCACCAACAATAACCCAACCCTAAAACGCTCTTCAGAGCAAAATTTCCCCTCTTGTATATCTGTTTTGTGCAGAGAAATTCCCGATTTCACCATAATAATTTGAATTTCATTCCTACCCCCCACTTCCAGCATTTTAGATGTATCCATATGCCCGGGGCAAACTGCTGGACCAGCCTGCTGCCTCCCTCTAGATTTGCAAACTGCTGTTATGATGCAGAATGCTTGAGAAACTATTACACGAAGAAGTTGGTAACTGTCACTTCTACTGAGGGAGGGAAAAAAAAAAAACAACAAAAGAGGTTCAAAAAGTGCAGAAGCCTGAATGATAATAGCAAGTGCTAAAAAAAGGAACACTGACATAGCAGTTAAGAAAAAATAAAATGATTAATTGCTGAAATGGGCATGTTTAGGAAGCATAATACATCTGCTACAACTTTAGGACATAGAATGACACCTTGCAAAGCTGGAAAAGAGGAAGTATACTATAAACCAGAATTAGACTGATGCTAATCATTACAACTAAATGTATCCTTACTATGACTACATTGGGATATCTGCCTAAGAAAACAGACAAACATGAACAGCAGGATTCTGGAATAAAAAATTTTATTGGTTGTGACACCAAGGTTTTGTATTTGTAAACATATCATCTACTACTAAACAAGGCTTATGTTTAAATATGTAATAATACAACATTAAAAAAAAAAAACTCCCCTAAACCAAACTGTGTGAGAGAAGTAAAGAGTGGGTTCCTTCCTCAAGCATTACTCCAGAGTAACTAGACACTAAATCTGCACAGTATTGTTTTTTTCTACTCTTATACAGACTGGATTAAGGCCTAAACCCACAACAGTTTGTGTTTAAGGCTAAACTGAATTTTCTGAAAATTACCTGGTAAGAGCAGGAGTAGCCATCCCAGCTTGCACTCCAATAGCCATAGGAATACCTCCACAGCGGATATTTCCCAGCTCTTCTGCCACTGCAATATTATAGGAGAAGTCCAAGCCCATGCCTCCATATTCTGAGGAAAAAACAAATCTATGATTCTCATGTTCTAGACCGGCATAAGCAATAAGAAAAAGAAAATAATATTATTACTGCAAGGACTTGCCAACTGCAATCTCACTATTAATTTTTAAGTATTTGACAATTACCAACTTTCCTTTCACAAAAGCAATACCACACTATTCTTTACAATATCTGAATTGAGAATAACACCTGTTCTAATTAACTGTGTGCACATCAGGTCACCTCTGAATATCCCAAGTAGCCTCATTACTTTTACTGGAAACGGCAGGAAGAAGTGACATGCTGCTGAAAACAACATCAGACGGCAAAATAATTCTTTCTAACAGCAAGGTCATATGAACAAATCACTTCAAGAGGTAATAAGTGCTTTTATTTCACCATGATAATTCCTGACAGTGGCTCTCACCCCACAGTGCAATCATCTTTCTCAGATGCAGCAGTCAAGTCAGCAGAGAGCAAGACCACAGGCAGGTTGTGTTTCTATGCTGAGTTACTGTCATAGCTCAAAGCCCAGGATTAGACACAACTACAATACAATGAACATGTGCATTTCGTATCCTGGCCTCTGGTCGGTGCAGTCATTAAAGCATTCTTTGTTAGCAGGAGGCTGATGACCTGGAGTGCTGGCCAGGTCCCAGCACAGGCCATCTCTCCCACACACACACACACATTCCAACCTGAACATTCAATTAAAGAGGAAATTATTCTTCACCTCATTTCCATGCCCACTGCTGATAAACCCACCATGTAGTGAAGCACAGAGAAGGGTTACATTGCTACGATGGATGAGATAATTTCTAGTTGTATTAAATAGCTCATAGTCCAAAAGAAATATGGTGAGAAAGTGAAGGTTACTGTTTGACGTCATCAGTTGACTGAGAAGCTTTGATTAGATAACGTTTCTTCCTTTTTTTTTTTTCTTCAAACTCATTTGAAGACCAACTAAGAAAATTTCAGATAAATATATACAAACCCCCACCACTCACACACACAATAGGGAGCAGATTACCCTTTCTGTTTTCGCTTGCTGACATCAAACACTGAGCTCACCCCTCTACTGACCTGCTCTGAAGTTTTCAAAAAGCACCAATAAATAGAAGTCAAAACACCACAGTGCATATAAACACAGGGCTTTGCATGCTATCATGTTTCGTAAGTGCACAGAAACTATCTTTGTGCATTCTTTTTCTGTTGATAGAAGGGAAAACACAAATGGAAAAGGCTAAGCATAAGTTCAGTTTTCAAATAACATTTCTCCTTGGGTCATTCTGAATAGTCTGGATTGTCAGCATTAAAAACTGGCTACTTTTCCAGACTTTTGTCTGAAAGGAATGTTTCTTAGAAATATACACAAAATTAAAGTTCCCACTGGGAGCTTAAGCAGCTCAAGGAAAAAACAGCAATAGGGGAATGCGTTTCATATAATAGATGAGCCAATTCTCTTGCCTTTACAAAGCCCCCATCAATAAACAAATGCTCTGAGGAGCAGTAAGGAATGTATGGGCATGTAAAGGCAGGACTATTTAAAGATATCTGGCATGAGAGAGTTTCTGCTAATTTTATATGAATCTATAGCAGAGTTCTAATACCTTACCTCGGTTTTGGCACCACACAAACGCTTTTCATTTGATTTTTTATTTTTTGAATCAGTCAATATTTGTATTGCCAAACTACAGTTAACACTGATTTTATCTTTTGTTTCATCTACCAGGCAGTTATATTCCTATCTTTCACTTAAATTTCACAAATCACAACCTTAGTTTTCTTGATTTCCTCAAAGCAACTTCATAGGAAGAATACTATACACAAAACACCCCGAGAAGGAACACTTTATCCAAGTACACATCTTACAGGCATTATTTGTCCATACCACAGTTCATTACATATTACTATGTAACAGACTTGCCTTGCTCTTATTTGAGATTAGTTACTAAGCAGTACATTTTAAAAACAAAATGCTGCAAAAGACCAGCTCTCAAAGGGAGAAGGAATTTCCTACCAAAGGAAGTAAAGGAGCAGAATGAAGCTTTGGGAGCCAGAGGTGGAGGGGAAAGCCCTTCCAGGCAAAGAGATGTTAAAACCCGAAGATTTTATAATCTGCATATAGATAATACAAGAGACATCCACAGACACAGGCAGGCAGGAAGGGCAGAAGCAAATGGTAAAAACACTAATCAGACCACACCTAAGCTTTCATCAGGTCTGTTCCAGGAGCCAAGGAGACAGAAATCCAGGGAGAAATCTGAGTAGTTGGATGGACAATTATAAGGAATGCCCCTTTTGAACCCAAAGTACTTGACTGAGCTAGAGATTCACTTATCAGTGCAGTCTGTGCCGCTGTATCCCCAGCTGTTTGGGTAACATGCCATGGCTAAGCACAGTCGTGTCCCATCTCTTTGGAGAACTGGACCTCTGCTCCAAGACAGGCTGCCAGCGATGTCACACACAGCAATAGCAGGCAGTGCTGGCTCCCAGTACTGAAGCAACTTTCTCTCTTCCTCGGCACATGGGTGGCAGCCTGGTTCTGGCAGCCCTGCTGCCTGGCACTCCAGCTGGCTATTTTGGGGCTGGTCTGAGCACACTGCCCTGCATGTCATGAGATTCAGCTCTAAAATTGATAAAAAACCCACCAGGCTGTTCTTATTTCCACCTGCTGCAGTGATGCTGCTGAATGTTTTGCGGAATGAGACTTATTCTTTTTGGAATAACTTGCAAAGAGAGAATATATTGTTTTTAGGAGGGTCGTGTTTGCCAGTATCATCAACAAACACTACCTTCTGGAAGTATCTATAACATGGTGGAATGCCAGTAGGAAAATTAAATTTTCATTCAGAAAAGTGAACACTATGCCTAACATAATTTTTTGGTGAAAGATCCATAATGAAAGGTACCAAATCAATTCCAAATTTGATTGGAAAAAAAAAAAAAAAAAAAAAAAAAAAAAAAAAAAAAAAAAAAAAAAAAAAAAAAAAAAAAAAAAAAAAAAAAAAAAAAAAAAAAAAAAAAAAAAAAAAAAAAAAAAAAAAAAAAAAAAGAAAAAGGAAAAAGAAAGGAATAAAAAGCTATATATAAATATTCACTCTCAAAACATTTCTAGGGTAAATATTTCATCTAAATTTAAAACAAGATGAGGGACCTTTAAAGAAATGTTTAGCTACATTACTGTTTTTAATTTTGCAAGAAATTTAAAAGAACAGACCAAAAACAAGCTAGGCAGAAATATGCACTAATGCACTAATACTTTTATAATCCAAAACATTTAGAAAAAGGCAACTGCTATTTTCAAAGTGTTACTGTTTTGATGACAAGAGTATAACTTCCAATTGTTAAATGGCTTAACTTGATATCATATTGATTGTTTGATTTCAGGTTAAATTATAAAACCCTAAGTGAGAACACAGGAACATACAAATAATAAATAAAAATCTGCACTACAAACTACAGGCAGGACCCACACTGGAGGAGGGGAAAAGTGTGAGGAGGAAAATGTAGCACAGAGGACATGCTGTGGACTGATTGCAACCTCCCATCACCATGCCCCTGTGCCCTTTGGGGTGGGGAGGGAGGTACATGACTCAGGAATGAAGAACTGAAGCTGAGCTTAGAGGGGAGGGTGGGGGAACATGTTGTTTTAATTTGCCTTTGTTTCTCACTATATAAATCTATTTGAATTGGCAGAAAATTACAATAATTTTCCCCCAGCAAGTCTGCTTTGGCCACGATGGTAACTGCTGACCAGTCTCGCTGACTTTTTCATGACAGCCAGGCCTGGCCATTGTATTTTCTCCCCTGTCCTGTTGAGGAGGGGGAGTGAGTGAGAGGCTGGCCAAGGTGAGCCACCACCCCACCGTCAGTATGTTAACTTATTCTTTTAAATTGGCTCTGTGCTTTTCTACTAATCACAACCATCACCACATTATTTTAAAACTCCCAACCTCCAAGAGCTCCTTACTTCATACAAACCAGTAAATTTCTAAATGTTAAGTTTCTGACACTAGAAGTGGAGTACAGTCCAAGAGAACACAGTGAGTTTCATGAAACACTGTTTTTAAAAGATGCAGATGTACATTCTACTAAATCTGCTAATTAAGGGTATCAGGACTTTTATGTATGAATATAGGCACAGAGCACAGATGATGCCCAAAACTACAAATAGAAGTGCAAAACTACCTCATCTTCAGTTGCAACATGTCAAAACAGAAACACTGCTGCAACATCATCTGGGAAAACAAAGGCAAAAAATTTCTATGAAAAAGAATTCATAAAGGCAAATGAGAAGCTGAAGCCTTTCATATAAGCATTTCATTTTTATAAAGACCAATGCATTTCTTGTCACTTGCTCAGACTCCCTATTCAAACATAACGCTGTGCAACGATGAGACAGGCTCAAAGTCTCTAGTCCAAATTTTGTAAAAGTTTAGAAGTGTCTCTATTTGGAATTTGCTTCTGAACTCCATCTACTAACTGTCAGTGGGAATGACAATATCTGTGGTGAAAAGGGTCTATAAGTGAGCTGAGAGAAGGTGAAATGGGGCCTTCAAAGTGTTTTAGGAATGTAAGTGAGCCTGGAGAAACTTTCCTAAGTTTGCATAAAGTGTATCTACACCAAAGAAAATCACACAGTATTATCTCTACTATCAGCACCTACCTCAGTGCAAGAACAAATAAATGTGTGCTTTCTATTCCTAGGAACTAGAAAGACAAATAAAGCATTAATAAAGTCACATTTTGAAGATAGACCTGAGAGACTTCTACATCTGACACTAGAGTGACAGAGCTAATTGCCATTTTTAATCACAGCCTACAGTTTTAAATCAACAGAAGCAAAATATAAGTGCTCAAACCTTCCTCACCTGTCATAAATATAGTTCAAGAATTGTAATTCCAAAGAACTACAAAGAGCCCTGAAGTTACATAACTGCAAATGTCATCAGGTAGGACAGTAGAAAAATCCTACCGTAATTCCTTTCCTGTTCTTTATATAAAAGGAACTTAAAGAATTACTAGAGGTGTACTCTCTGTGTCATAAAATTTCCCATAAACCCAATCTGAAAAGCTGAAGCTAAAGAAGCTTAGAAAACACCTCCTCCCTTCTTAAGTATTTGCCCTGGCTGGGTGTAGAGGAAAAAACCTCTCATTTTGTGTAACAGAAACACCTTGATTCCACTTTAGTCTTGTTAAGACATATGTATTTTTTTGCTACTTCCATGGAATCACTTCATGAAAAAGAACACAAAACAAAACAACACAACACACAATGAAAACCCACACAAATAAAACCCTCGTGCTGAATGCAAAGTTCCTTTTAACATATTACCTTAGCCAGATAGATCAAACTCCCTCAGTGTGACTGAAAGTTTGTCCCAAACCAGAAAAAATAGTGCTTTATGATTTTGTTTGCTTGATCCTAGAAAGATCACAGACATATGCAGTAGTTTATCTCAGAGGAACTCAGCAGTGCCTGCCAATGAGCAGATAAATGCACCACACAGACCTAGCCATAGCTAGGGATAGCATAGACATGTTCAAATAAGACACTGCTTTAGAAAGCCAGAGCAATACATTCTAAATCACTAGTTGTCAACAGCTGCACTTTCCAGAACTTCCCTCCCAACTTGGTAAGTTTTCTTTGTTTTCTAAGGGATTATGCAGTGTCACCCAGTGCCATCTGAGTCAATAATCACATCTGCACAAAACTTCAAACTCAGAGGGATATCAGAGCTCTTAAAAAAAAATTCATACAAACTCCTCAAACTGTGTACAAACAATGTTATAGGGAAAAAAAAGCTAAGTAGCACAACCATAGAATAAAATGCCCCAAGGGAACACAAAAAACACTAACTATGAAAAAGATGCAGTAGCCAAAAGAAAATGAGAAAGAAAAAAGAAAACCCAAGACTGCACACAATACCAAACACCAGCTAATGTGCAAGCTCCAACTCAGAGAATAACTTTAAGCAATCACTGGTCACAGACTCCTCAGGCATCTTCTGTCTGCTTTTAAATTGAGTTTATTTTCCCCCCTCAGCTCTGACCCAACATCAATTCCACAGAAACTGGAATTTAATCAAAATAGTTAAACCACCCTAGAATTTTTTTCTTTAAGGTTAAAGATT